CCTCCTCCTATTTTCCCCACAACAACCACCCTGTGAGGTGAGTTGGGCTGAGAGGGAGTGACTGGCCCAAAGTCACCCAGACAGCTTTCATGCCTAAGGCTGGACTAGAATTCACCATCTCCTGCTTTCTAGCCTGGAGCCTTAACCACTAGACCAAACTGGCTCTCAGTGAAGGAAGAATTCTTTTTTTCTGCTTTATTGCTGATAAATATAACTAGCTCTGAATTGTATAAAACTATGAAGGATTACAGTGTCAACAGATGTGGTTTGGAGTTTTAAGTTTTGTGCAGGGGTATGTTCTGATGGCACAGCTGCAGTGACAGGAAAACACTGTGGAGTAGTTATCCCAATGAAGGCGTTTGTGCCAAAATGTAAATTAATGCACTGCTTTCCTCATTGCAAATGTCTTGCTATGAAAAAAATGGCAGCTGAACTAAACAATGTGCTTAACAATGTAGTAATAATTGTGAATTACATACAGTAAAGGCTAATCTGTTAAATTTGAGATTATTATATAATAATATGGAAGCTGATCACAAACAGCCATTACTGCATGCTGAGGTTTGATGGTTATCGAGGGGAAACATTTCTGTCTGTACAGAAAAAGCTCTTAGTGTTTCTGCAACACCCATTTGGGGTTCAGTGTCATCAGTATGCTGATGATATCCAGTTTTACATCTCTACCCCAGATTGTGCAAGTAAAGCTGTCAAGGTACTGACCCAGTTTCTGAAGGTTGTTCAGGTCTAGATGAGGAAGAACAGACTTCAACTCAATCCTGACAAGACTGAGTGGCTGTGGCTGTGGCTGTTTGGCCCCCCAGGGTGAGGGACATCTCCATTCTTGGTCTTGGATGGGGTTGTGCTTTCCCGTTTGAGAGTTGTAACTTGGGGGTTCTTCTGGACTCACAGCTATTGCTTGAAGAGCAGGTGGTAGCAGTGGCCAAGAGGACTTCTGCACAGGTACATTTTTGTGCATCAGTTGCACTCTTTCTTTGATCAGAAGGCCCTGCAGATCATCACTCGTGCCCTGGTCACCTCACAATTGAATTACTGCAATGTGCTCTACGTGAAGCACCCTTGAAAACCATCCAGAAGCTACAGCTGGTTCAAACTGCAGTTGCCTGAGCAGTAATTGGCACTTCTCGTTGTGTCTGCGAACTGTATTGGCTGCCAGTTGGCTTCTGGATGCTTTAGCTTTAAAGCCCTTCATGGCATAGGTGCTGGTTACCTGAGGGACCACTTTTCTTCCATCGTTTCTGCCTGCCAGTATGTTTGGGCAGAGTGGATACACACCAGGTCCTTTCTATTAAGTGTTGTTATCGTATGGGAGCTGGGAAGCACGCCTTCTGTACTGTGGCACCCATCCTCTGGAACAGCAACCCCTTGGAGATATAGATGGTACTCTTTCCTGGGATTCTGAAAAGCCCATAAAATCTGGCTCTGGTCCCAGGTCTTTGGGGTTAAGGTGTTTTTGCAGGGCTGTCATGCTTTGTTTTAATGGTTGTTTTTAGTCCAGGCTGTTTCATTTTATGTTTTTGTTTTAATCTAGCATTATATTTTATAAGATGCCTAGAGTCCACTGGAGTGGGCAGCTATATTAAATTTAAATAATAATATACGCATGTAGTTCCATGAATTATGTAATAAATGACTAAAAACACTTGTTTCCACACCAATCTTCATAACAGCCCCTGGATTTGATCTAGTAATTGTAGGGCTATATAAATTATTCCGAGGGGTCTTTGATTGCGACAATCCTAGCAGAAGTGACTTATGTACATGCATGGATTGATGGCCCAGGAATATTTTAGAAGCATTTAGTATAATTAATTTCCTTTTCTCAGCAGATTGCATTCTACCATGTACATAGAATTCTGCTTGTTTGTAAGGATAAATTTTGTAATATGGTTTCTTCATACATATTCTAGTGCTGTGTGACCTGAGAGTTTGGTTGGTTGACTTCTGGAAAATGGATGATTCAGGCTGTGTTTCAAAATACTTTTTGCCAGAAATTTATTTATGTATTTATACATTCGATTTATTCTCCGCTCCTCTCCCCCCAATAGGGAACTCTGGGTGGCTCACAAGGTATATATAGTCCTAACAGTGACTTACAATTACAAATCCTACAGTGCTATATATATTACACTATGTGACCAGCAGTGGTCGCTAGGGGGTCATCCGGGCTTTATCCTCCTCCGAAGATCTTTCTCGCCGCTCCCATCGATCGTCGCTCGTGCTGGTTGCATTCGGAGTTTGGCCAGCACCGGCATTTTGCTCCCCCGGGCAGCACCGCCGGTTCCTCCCATCTAAACGGGAGTCCCCATTTATCTACTTGCAGATGGAATAGCTTTC